TATTATTATTATTATTTAAATATTTATAATATTCAAGTTATTACATTATTACACAAATCTTACAACAGGGGATATTTATTAATGTACATAGATATTTTTGAACTGATTTCTATTATTGTGAATATGTTTTTGAGAATTTTTACTAAAATTATTATTATTATTATTATTATTATTATTATTATTATGTATCAATGATTTTTATTAGTCTTTGATATTTTTACAGATTTATTGAATAAGACAAGATGCGCACTAATGATTTATATCTGGGTGGTGATCTGACTAATAGTTTAATGTTAGACATTTAAAATGTCTTGATTAAATCCTTTGCACTCAAGAAGTTATAGAAGGGAAGGAAATAAAAATAATTGAGCGAATAAGAATCGAGGTAAATGAAGAAAGCCTATATGTTGTACGAGGTGACTGAAGATGAAGGTGTTGATTGGTTTGACATCATTCCAACTGGTAAAAATGGTGTCCTTTATTTACGCAACGACTATAAAACCTTGAGAAGCTGGCACGTTTTTAAAACTAAAACTAAAATTTCTAAAACATCATAGAAAAAGTGTGAATAAATAACATGAATTGTGACTGAATTTTTTAATCTTTCACAATATTCTCAAAAAATCTTATTCACAAAACGGAAGACCAAAGCAGTTTGTTAAGTGTTTCTAGAGCTAGCGTAATTAAGTCATGCAGTAGACAAAGCGCGAGGGTTGTAATCAATTAAAGCGTAGAATCCAGAGTCCGTGTGTGTTCCTCGTGCCGTGCGTCTATAGTTTCATATTGCACAACAATTTTGTTTTTTAATTCACATTAGTACTTTGCTCCTCTGAAAAGCGACTAACCGTCCTTTCATCTGCTCTTTCATTATGCATCAAGTTTGAACCGGAAGCACCTAGTAATCCCGCAAAATATCCCAGATCTCAATAAGAACGCAAAAGAAGGAGCTAAGACCAACTCGGAGCATATTTTTCTTGGCTGTATCAAAATGTACGTCGCAGTGATGCTGTCTTGATGCTCAATTGTTTTCATTCTTTCTCCTGTTGTGCACAGTTTGAGGTCCTCAACACCTGAAGGCCTTAAACCAGCAACACCTACCTCAAAGATTGTTAATTGCTATCGATTACATCGCTTGCTCTCCACTCGACCCCAAATATACATAATCACGAAGGAACAATGCTAGAGCAAGAACAAATATGCTCTTTTTAGACTATAAAACAGAACCAAGTACTGTTGATTTAGAATTCAATTAATAAAGATATAACATATCGTCAATAAATGAACGAGGAAAGAAGGATTGCGTGTCTAAAGAGCTACTAAACTTCGTAAAAGGTCGTAAAACATAAGGTAAATTTATCTAATTTTGTTTATTTATTTACAGTTAGGATATAGCGATTTAAAATTGCTGCGCAGACAAAGGTAATAGTTTTTAGAACATTTTTCGCTAATTAGTTTAGCAGTTTTCTTCGTTTTACAGTGAATTAAGAAAAAAAGCTTCGGGTAAAATAGAATCAACTTATGAAATTACTCATAAAATTCCTCAAAAAAAAAAAAAAACAAACAAAAAAACTTAGCAAGTTTATTTGCAGTTTAGTTGTATTACTATAAGGCATATCGCTTGGCTACAGAAGGGGCTGTTAGGTCTCTACCCCTTCACAATGAGAGTAAAAAGATCACGAGATGAAAAGAGCCTCAAGCAAACACTATATAAATATCAGCATGCTTCTCTCTTTTTTTTTTTTTTAGACTGGTATATGATGTGTCACACTGTTTCATAGTGCATAACATAAGGTATTAACTTCAATAAAGCGCTTAGACTAACCGCAAAAAAACACCGGTATAAAAAATCCACTCTCACAATTAGAAAATCTAAGACGGGTCCGATGACGGATATCGAATTAATTTATGAATAGTATTCACCGTGTTGAATGGGAATAGTCGTAATCTGATTGGTTACTGCTGGCACCGATCGGGCGCATATATAGAACGACCCCGCCGTATCCTGTCAGTGGATGCTCTGAGATCTGAAATACGCCCTGAAATATCGCTAACCTTAGCTCATAGGATCCGAACTCACAACACGGTCTTCGTCATGAAGCAAGCTTACTTATATATATTCACAATCCTGGTGTTGATAGTTATGATATGGGTTAGGCCCATTCAAAGCCGCAGCTCTAAGAGTAAGGGATCAAGGGATAAAGACAGAAGTAAGTCTAGATCCGAGGTAAGTTTGGCCTTTTGGCGTATTCATTAGTAGTTATAAATAATATCCCCTTGAATGTTGATTGGAGCTGGTTTATGTGTGTCGTCTAAGTTCGCGCGGAATATTTTCAAGTAGCGCTGATAATACAACTAGCATAATCCAATCATTTTTAACCTACAACAGAGTCTCAAAACACTGAGCCAATGTATTTTACATCAAGGATATTTGGATAGGAATTGTACATTAGGATTTGTTGTTTTAGTGTAATAACACAACACCAGTGGCCAACATAAGGTCGGAAAATCCATCTATTCAGAGTGACATTGTGTCAATACTTATAGAAAGGTATACCTTGTTTTTCTCCTTGACGTCCATGATAAGGACGAAACATATGAATAAAAGGTCGATAGACAACAGAGATGTCGATTATTTGTTCTGGAACTCTTAGAGAGTTTTTTAAGATCGGAGATATTTATCAAACTCTGTTCAAGTACGTGTAGGCGATTTTCTTTTCGATCCGTGATTGGACAAGAACGGGAAAACGTGGTAGGAAGGCGGCGAAGAAGAAAAAAGACAGTTCAAGAATATCATAGATAAAATTCCCGATAAAAAAACTAGATATCTTTTCTTCCGTGGTATAAAGGGAAAATGAATTTGCGCACGTCCTGCGTCGAGAGGTATTAAACTTCAAAACTACGACATATTGCGGAGTGTAGTGAATGGAACTGTTATTGATGCTTGAGTATCGAGACAGCTCGTGATTTGACCTTTTTTTCATAATCATTAACAGGCCTATTTGTGGGTATGTATTTGGGTCGGACAAGGTAACATAAAGGAACAAAGAAATGCGTGATTAAAAGACCGACTGTTTCGYCCTTGCATCATTATAAATGCCACTTTTGAGGTGACCGTAAATCATCCCGACAACGTTTCATCTGGCGACAAAGAAAAATGAATAAAGCACGCAACTTATAAGAATTTGGCCTTGTGCTGTTAACTTTAAAGCATTAAAAAAGGGGGTAAGAAAGGGAAATGACTTAGTAAAAGATGTTTGTGTATCGTTCGCCAACTCAATTCCGTTGAGGTTTAGACAGAAAATAAAAAAGAAACTTCCATTGTTGTTGTATCCTTCCCCTAGGACGCTACAGGATGTTCGAATCTCTAGCATAAGGCAGAGGACTCGACTTTTAATATCCAGAATCTACCCGGTCTTAAAATAAAATCCATGACATCTTTTGATTGGATTCGGCTGTTGAAGAAAGATCTAAGTAAATAGCTCCAGGAAATTAGCAAAGATAACATGTACATTAGCTTTTCACACACAGCCTCACGTTACGGAGATAACGAGTTATCGTTCCTGGGTATAATACTTGTCGAGAAATACAAACCAGCATGCATGTCAACGTTACGCTTGGCTTTCATTCTCACTTATAGACCCGACTCCTCTAGTTCTTATTGCACGTCTGAAAAAGATCGTGGCTGTTAATTTACTTACGTTGAAGCATACAGTTCATATTAACTTTGGTTGAAGGATCAAAAACACAGTTGAACCCTGATATATCAAATAAAAAATCAAACCAAGACTGACTGAAATGAGTTTGCAAAACGTAGTAATTGTCTATAGTTACTGTTAATAGTCGTGCATAAATCATGCTGTTATGACTGATGTTATTCTAACTCTTGGAATACCAAGATGATACCAAGTTTATATTTGAGAAATTTGATTGAAATATCACATGCGCACGCTGGCTGTGGGAAGCCAAGAGTTGTCAAAGTAGGGTAAAAGCCACGGCGAGCTACAATGTCGTAAGACACGCGACGGAAAATAGGGAAAGCTTCAAAGGAAAACTGTGTTTATTTCAAAATATTTAGGGCCTTGCAAGTCGCCTTAGTTCGAAGCTCTTGTATTTCTGATACCGCGATCAGTATTTGCAATGCATGCCTTTCGTGTCGAAGAGTTTTACAACACGCAATGTAGAAACAGTCTGCTGCTAAGGTTGACCTAACGTGACTAGTAAGCATATATGACTCTCATAATGTACAAAAAACCTGTTGTCTCTAATCAAATAGCTTCAAAACACAATGCCTAAGACTTTTATATAGAATGACAGGAATCCGGCACTCAAGCCGATTACAACCTTAAATCTATCTGATTTTCAGTGATTGAAGTTTAAGGCCCATATTTCCTTGACTTTGCCGCGCGTTTCTTCTTCGTTCCGTTATGCATACTCTTTATCAACGCTCAGCAAATACTGCCTGCCCAGAAATGGTTTAAGGGTAATCAGAGCAGCAATTCAAAGTCATTAAATGAATTGTTTGTTTTCTTTCGTTCTTAAATAGGGTGAATGTGCTATTAAGCAAGATAGCGATGGGTATTACTATGTCGAATGTGGAGGAACCGGAAAAGCTACATCAAAACAGAATCGCAAGAAGGTAAGAGGTTACCAGAATAATAAACCACATTGTACTTTAATTAACTTCTGGTGTCAAGTATGGGAGGGATAATATTCTAATTCCAGAGTGTATGTTTGTAAATATTTGTATCGAGGCCTTGAGTTGACATTAATAACAACATCATTCACTCAGTGAGGAGCAGTGTTTTCACGGCCGTGGCATAGAACACACAGCGCGCGCTAGCTTTTTCGAGAAATTAAAGTGTCATAACCGCGTTGGTTTTATTACCATAAACAATTACATTTGATCAGAATGGTGCGGTTTGTAAGCCGCAGTTCCGTCAGTCTTCTGAGGTAAGGTTTACGATAAGGTTGGAATATGAGCAGATAGCTTAAGATATATAAGTGGTTTTAATTGTACCCTTACTTTAATGTGTTTGGCGCACTTATTATATACTATCATAACAATCCTCTTATTGAACTGAAATGACTAATTTGTTGCGCAGGTTTTTTTCTACTTCCGTTAAGAAAAATATGTGCTAAATTTCATATGCTAGAAAATTAGTAAAGATGGCACCACTATTTCATTCATATACAGCTCAAATCACACTTACTTGAGAGCGCTGTGCCATCTCTGCCTCGGCTATCAAAATAAATCACACACGTACAACACCGGTACAAGTGATTGGTTTTCAAAACCGCGCAGCTTTCAAAGATGTTCTAGTTACTGCAATAAAGTAGGCGGAGAAATGACAAAGGAAGTATTACTTACGAGGAAATAGAAACCTGAACTAGCTGGGTTTTTATGAGATACTCCAAATTTTCTCCCCTGAAAGAGTTTTGACTGCGAATTCCTTTGGGCTGAAGCTAGTTTTTTTTTTTTGAAGCAAGTTAAATATGAGTCATTTTTCCTATTTTTTTTTTTAATAATAAATAATCCCGATTTTTGTCTTTATAATAGGTAGATTAAACTACTAAGCATTTTTCTTGGTATTAAGCAGATCGAACTTCTTGTTTCTGTATGTAATGCAATAATGGTCAATCAGAACTGCCGATCAACAATTTTATTACTTTTAATCACGAGTTGCATCTCTAGAAGTCTTAAGTGGCCTTTTTATCTTAACGAAGATATAAAGTGAAGAATGTCAGTGTTGGTGGTCCGAGCTCATTACAGTTATGAACAAAGACATAACTAAATCAATCAAGAAAACGAATAAAATTCTTGTTTTAGTATGGCACTTCTGTTTTGTGGAGGTTCAAAAATCCAAAAAAAATAATTAGCAAGCTATGAAGAGTCAGCAGGTGGTATATTTTTCTCGTTACTTGCATCCATCTGATATGGAAAACCTTGACCATGTTCTGCTTATCGCTTTAGAATGGACCATCCCTAAAATTGTCTTGAATGCGTGGCTAAATATAACATGGAAATACAAAAGAAATGCCACAGATTCCATTGAGAAAAAGTGTGATTTCTTTTGCATTTCCATGGTATCCTCGCATCCACGATACTTTGAGAGGGGTCCATCGAACATTCCTCTATTAACGTAGATGATCATATGTTACTCGTAAAGTGGATGGACTAATATTGAGTGCAATGAACCTTGAATCGTGTTACTGTGACTGTAAGTAGAATATAGATCGATAGAACCTAAATACACATGTTGTGTGGCAAGGGTTGCGTGCAATATGGGTAGTATATGATGCAGCATAGCCAACTCAAAGCGATCAGCTATCCCGAATAATTAATGGCCTTGCAAACTAATCTCGCTACATGCATGGCAATTAATGAATAGATCAATCGTTAGACTATATTTGGCTATCGTGGGCGGAACCATTTTTAAAAGGAGGGTACACATATCTATTAGCTTCTGCTCTTGGGATAATAGGCCAAACGCAAAACTTGCATCGATGTAAAGTTGTGGACAAAGGGATCTGGCATGATTCGTGACTTTCGAATCGCGCCAGATTGCTTTGAATCACGCCAGATCCCTTTGTTTACAACTTAAGCCTCGCATCGGTGCGAGTTTTGCATTTGGTCTATACTATGAGAATAAATATGTTTAAATGGGAAAAAAACATACTGGACGTCATTTCGCTTTAAAAAAAACTCGTACGGTAGTGCTGTTCCCCTTGCATCTGCCAAGATGAAGACAACGGCGATAAAGGAAACGTTGACTAAAGTGCTTATTTTTAGTGCCCTATTTTAGTGAACACCTTAGTCAAACCGAACAGCATATTATTCTTCCATTGACCATCTACAGAACGACCACCAGTGCCTTGTTTTTGAAAGGAACTGAAAAATAAAAGTACTTCTCAAAAGAACAACGTAATAGTAATCTCCACGCTAGGGTAATGACTGGAAATATGTTGGTCAGGCGCGCGCGAAGATTAATCGTCTTATCGAATAGACAGTAGATTGGTACAGTATAAAAATTAGATTACGATGTCCAAACCATGTTCGTAATTAAGGAGTTCGCTATGACTGGAAATGTGGTATTCACTGAGGTGTGCCGCCTAAATAACATACTTTAGACCACAGTTTCGTTCACGCGTTTATAATATCCAATAAAGTCTTCGACGTCCAACTAAAATAAATGATTAAGAATCAAAGAATTGCCAGAATTTACCGGACGGTGATTGGTGAAGGAGCTCTCTGGGCGTAGCACCGTTTTGTCGAATGATATATATGATAACATCTAATCTAAAGTCCCGGATATCATGCTCTCGTACAGAAAAGAGAAGTGCCTGATATAAAATAAGATAATATTAGGAGCGTCAAAGTATTGGAGTAATCCAGTACCGCTCTAAAGCTGGATTTTCATTGCTCCCTAAGTATAGTACCGCTTTTGTAAGGTTAGGTTTAGTGCTATTGTTTGCATTATAGAATGTTTTTAATCCAATCATAATTTACACCTATCATCGATTTCTATTTTTTTATATAACTCACTTTGTAATATATGAGTAATCCAGTACCGCTCGAAAGCTGGATTTTCATTGCTCCCTAAGTACAGTACCACTTTTGTAAGGTTAGGTTTAGTGCTATTGTTTGGATGACCAATCTATTGTTTTTTAATCCAATCATGTAACTCGTTCCGAGCGCTACAGGCTGGCTCAAGTGTTGTAAACAATTTAGTATAAATCGCATAGAGTWGGGTGGTGAGTTGGGCGTGGCCTACATTTGTTTAGACCGCCACTTATGAACCAATTCGGCTAAATCAATGTTTTACCCAATTCAAATCTGCTGGGATACGTTTCTTTGTCTATAGTATTTACATATCATATCCATATCAGTGTTTCATTGACATGTAAATATAATGGACAAAGAAAAGTATTCAGTAGATTTGAATTGATGGCTTTCACGGCGGCCAGGCGGAGGAACTTAACAAAAGAATCGCCAATGAATTCTTTTGTTATATCCTCCAACATGGCCGCCATGTCTTTTGTTATTTAATTCTCTTGGGAATGGTTGAAAACCATCAATTTAGTCTTAACGCCGATATATCTACGACCCTTATGATCTTAATTTGCTAGCTCATTACTGCAACTATCTATCAAGCGTCGGAGCGAGCAGTAAAATATCTCTGCAAGCAGGGTACCGACAATCAAGCCCTCGCTAATAAATCACTGCTGTCAGTGAGGAGACCTACCACTGTTAAAGTGAAACACAAAAACAAAGTAGTGATTTCATACGATGTTAAACAGCGGTGAAAGTTCATTAATCAAATCACAAATTTCTAAATACATTCAATAGATTTGCGGTAGATCTTAGGATAGACTCAAATGGCCGAAGTCTTTGAATCGAGTCTGCATATACTTTTCATATACTTTTTGATAAGTCTATTCGTTTTTGTTTTTTATTTTTTTATTTTTATTGTTTGTTTGTTTGTTTATGCAAGACAGATTATTAGGCACCACGTTATTCCTTCCGGTGAGTTTAAAAAGTAAAACGCAAGGCAAAATCTAGAGCAAATTTTTAGTAAAATGTCAGGAGTAAGCCATTTGTCATTTTCTTGAAAATTATTTCTTTTTCTACCTGAGTAATCTTGCGATGCGTCTCTCAAGAAACTAAGGCGGGATCTTTTATTCCCAATGTTCGCAATGCATTTTGATCGAAAAATATAAGACAGAAACCTTAAAATCAAAAACACGTGCGTAGATTGAAATATCCATCATCGAATATTGCTGGCTTAAATAGAATGAGACAACAGTCTATTAAGTAGGAACAAGACTAGATAAAAAAGCCTCTAAGGGTGTTCAATAAGATACGCTATTACAGGAATGCGGGAAAACAGGCTTCAGTAAAATTACTGTAAGTCATAGATCCATCATCAATCGCAATAATATTGGATCGGAAGGAGGGAGGCAAAGTCAAAAGCATTGACTTGGGAACCAAACATTTTGAAGCCTAAACGACAAAGACCCTCGGGCAGACTAACGGTAGACAAACGGGACATCTGGTATGATATCGAGGAAATATGCGTGTAAATCACATAAATGGATTTCAAATCTCATATAAATATCATCCCAAAGATTTTGAAAAGTTKAAAAGGTAGAAGTATGATTCAAACTCAAACGATGAAATCAATTTGTCGATTTTTACATTAAGATCGTGCAGGGATGTTTTGGCTATTTTTGCGAGCCATCATCCATCATAAATGTCGATGTGCGTAGAAGATAAGTAAAAATAGAGATCATCGAAAATTCGTATTAGTAGGGTACTTGGAAACTTAGCCAAAGTATCACTTGACATTACAAAATATCTCTGCATGGAAGTTAAATTTTCATGATCTTTATTTCACGTGCAAAACTACTAGTTTTATGTCTAATGAGAAAAAATGGTACCAAGACACTATATATATAAATACAATGCTTTGTAGAAGTTTTAATCTGGATTGTATTTTACTCAATAAGATATCCATAAAATCATCTTTACGGACGATGTTGCGCGCACGTCCAAGCTTGAAAAATTAACATTCTCACGGCTACGTGGGCATCGATATTTGACAAAAATACTAGTCAACTCTCTTTACAGCGGACACC